CACAAGTCTTAAAGTTGCCAAGGTTGGACACCCCTGCTATACAGTGTTATAAAATCTAACTGGATGAATGTTTTGCTCATCGTTTATAAGATGTCCACCAGATGGCAGTTTATGCTTTTAAACCGTTTTTTAAAGAAAGATGAGAAGCTGAGCTCTCTCTTTTTCTCTCAGTTGCACCAGTTAGAAAGAAGTCAGAGAAGAGAGGAGAAAAATCTTCCTCCAGAGACCCTTGTTTAGAAAGGTGGCCACTTAAACCTCACCCCCAAAAGAGGAAATGCATCTCAAGGAAAAAACGTGCTGATTTGCATCATACTGAACATGCTAATTTATAATTAAAGCTAATCAGTACAATATTTCAAACAAAACTGTAATATATTTTACCACAGTAGAAAGATTACAGCCACATGATAGATGAGCAACTTGAAGGCTGTTCCTTCTTTTACAATGGAAAACATTCCTAATACACAGGCAGTTTTTGAAGAGTAATAAGAGACATGACCCTCTTTTGCTTAGGCTCGATTTGCACCTCGGCAGATAGTCATGCCGGCCACATCACCATGGACGTGTCTTCAGAGAAAGCTGGCTCCCTTGGCTAAGAAAGGGAGATGAGCCTCCTCCCTCTGGAGTTGGACTCGACTGACAGGGGAAACCTTTCACCTTCACCTTTATCCTGGGCCTAAAGGCCTTCACTGTATGCTCTCTCTCCTATATGTGCATGACATGTTTTCAATTGGCCATAAGGTTCATAATTTGAGAGGAAGAGAAAATAGCTATAAATAAATGCTTTATCGTGTACTCATGTTTGCATATAGGTTGTCCTTAACTCAAGACTAGTTGTTTAATAACGGTTCGCAGTCAACGGTGGCTGTCGTAAAATGTTGCATCGTGTGACGGCCATTTGCAATCTTCGCTGCCAGCTTCCTCAGTAAGTCATTGAGGAAACCAGCAGGGAAAGTCACATGTGAAGGGGGTGTTGGATTTGAGGTCCAGTCCTCCAGTGCTCTGAAAGACTTCCATTCTCCTTCAGGCAGGGAAGGAAATTCTCATTGGGCTCTGGATCTCAAATCAGATGAAAACATTAGCAAACAGCATCATTCTCACAACTGTTCTTTCCGTGAGTGAGAGACAGGATTTGGGCCTCCTGTGTGTAATGACTGCACCATGCCCAGGAGGTCTGGGTTCTCTCCCTGGTTCTTCACTTAACAACCACAACTGGATTGTGGTTATTAAGCAAAGCAATTGTGGCATCTTGCTTAATGACTGCTTCACTCAATGACCAAGATTCCAGGCCCAATTGTGGTAGTAAGTCAAGGACTACTTGTAAGGCTAAATGTTCTCCTCTTAACACCTTGCCTTACTGCATGCTTCCTACTTTCTGAGAAGCAAAGTTCGGTCAGTGTAAATGTAATTATAAGACACACTGAGACTTAGGAAACCTCTGATTCAGACTTACTTCTGAAGGGCCTTTTGCAAAAATTTACGAGGCAGCTTCTGATTCTACCAGATAAATGGCACAGAGCAGCTTTTCCGCCTTTATCTTTTTAATATCTTTTTGTGAAGATATCTTTTTGGAAGGAGCTTTTGGAAAAAAACAGGAAAGTTAAGAAATGGGATGGTGTCTCACCATTACAACCTGGGTAAAATTCCATAAAGGAGGCAGACTGATTGCACAAAAGACAATTCATCAAGAAGCAACCCAAGACCTTAGCTTTTATCTTTTATGAGTTGATAAGAGGTTTGTTGAAGCCCTTACTCAGAGCTCTGACACATACTGACTACCGAAAGTCAAAATATATTGGTAACTAAATAGCTAAAATCTGGCCAGCTGTATTACTAATCACAAGATATGTCAGAGCACCTGAAGGGAAAAATCACTTGGGATTTTTCTAGCCGTTGTATAGATATGTCAAACGATGGAATGAATTAAAGGATGTAACAATCATAAGACTCTCCTACTACAATGGCCGAATATTGACTTAAAATAGAAGAAACATATAAGAGAGTTTAAGGATCAGAATTGGGATGATCTTTAGCTTGCCAGACAAAGCGTATTGCAATATGATTACAATCTTGAGCAAGAATGGGTAAGAGGAGCAATCTCATATTCTCCTTTATTGATATTTAATTTACCAGACTAAAACCATGGAAACTTAAAAGGTGACTTTGGGCTTGTCACTCTCTCAGCAAACCTCAGATTTTTTGCAGTCATCACAATGAAGGAAATCTCCATGTAGGGTGTCTTGTGCTTCTAGAAGAAATACAGGCTGGATATAACTCTAATTATTTACATCTAGTACAGTCAAATTATGTTTCCCTGTAATATATCCTCTCTGAATTGCAGTCTTCTTACACATAACTGGCTCCCTCCAGCTATCATTCTCTGTTAGGCTTTCTTTCTTTCTCTTGTGTCTACAATCCTGGCTCTTCAGTTTTGCAGTCCTGGGATTTCCCAATTTGATTCATGCTAAGCCATAATATGGTTTGCGTAGGTTTTCTTTGGAATATTTGGTTTAGTATGATATGTGAAGACGCCATTATAGTTTGCAGACAATGACAGTATGATATTATTATGCTTGGTTGCACAGTCAGACAATTATTTAGATTGGTTTCGGCGTTTGTATCCACCTAAGGACCTGGGGCAGGCAAATATTGTTATTTGATAGCGTTAAAGATATCATTGCAGGATGTAAGGTGTTCCAAGCAAGCTTGTCTTTTGCAATTGACTGATGGTGATCTTTGTCAATGCCCATGGTTTTCAAGTGGTGCTCCCCATTTTTGGGGATTGCACTCCAGACACATATTGGTACTATCTTTGTTTTCTTTTACCATAATCATTCAACTGTTTCCAACACTGGGCAAAGGCAATCCTGGCAGCAGTCAGTATGTGTAATAATGTATTTTGTACTCTTTACATATTTTTTTTGAAGATCCCCAATAGGAAGAGTTCTGGTTCTAGGTCTAGTTGTTCATTGGTGATTTCTTGTAGCCAATTTTGAATTTTGAGCCAGTACTTTCGAGCCTCTGAGCAAGACCACCACATATGATAATATGTTCCCTCTTTTTTTTTACATTTCCAACATATGGAACTCATTTTAGGGTACATTTTCGCTAATCTCGAAGGGGTAAGTGCCAGCTATAGAACATTTTATATGCATTTTCTTTGTATGTTACTGATTTTGTTAATTTGTGGTTTCTATTCAATACAGTCTCCCACTCTGATAACTTTATGTTATGACCAATATTTTGACCCCATGCGATCATGCATCCTTTCACCACTTCTTCTAATTCTACTTCTAGGAGATACTTGTAAATTTTGGTAATATTTTTTTTATCTGGGCCTAATAAAATTTTGTCTAATTGTTGAGGTTTCAAGTATATTCCATACTCCTTTACATCCTTTTTATATCGACTTTGTATTTGAAGATAAGCCCACCAGTCTACTTGTAGCCCTTGTTCTTGGAGCTCCTGTATTGTTTTTAAATTTCCATTTGTATCCAATAAGTCTTTATATTTTAACATTTTGTTCAGCTCTAAATTATTTGGGTGGATCTTCTATTTTACTTAAGGCTTGGTCTTGTGCAACCAGAATTCACCCCATCTCTTTTCTTCAACTTTCCTGCTCTTAGCCATTATCAGGTCTTCTTGTTTTTGTTATTAAAATATATTATTAAAAGATGGGGGAGGGAAATACAGTGGTGGACATTGGCATTAGACCTGAGCACATGTAGTTTAAAAAAATCTCATTAGGTAAAGTGTGTTAAGTTTCAAACTTGCCTGTATCCTTTTTGGCCGTATGACTTTCACTCAGATGGACAGTGCACATTGCCCAAATAGACAACATTCATGACAAATAACCTCCCTAAATGAAACAGGGAATGGGAATAGATTGTATACAGTGTGTAATAATATTGATATAAGATATGTAAAGGAAAGAATACTTTAATAGAATTTAATACTGCTCAGTATGATAGGCAGCGGTGTGTGTATTATTCAGGGGCAATGCCAAGGCCTTTGCGGTTTTGCCTTCTGTAACAAGATTCGGACTGACAAGGCTTCATCACACAAGGCCCTCCTGGATTCAGAGACCATTCTCCATAAAGTACCATAACTGACCATTTGTTGCAAGTGACAAATGCAGAAGGCTGGATTAAAGATTATTTGAATTGCATAGAAATTAATTTCATGTGGGATGACTCCAGAGCAGGGGTCTTACCAAACTTAACAACTTTAAGACTTGTGGACTTCAACTCTCAGAATTCCTCCTCCAGTCTTGTTAGCTCAGGAATTCTGGGAGTTGAAGTCCACAAGTCTTAAACTTGCCAAGTTTGACGACCCTTGCTCCAGAGCATAGGAGCTCAGTCTGTCTTGGGTTGATAGCGACTGTAAGCTTTTCATTTTTTTCTTTTCTTAGAGTAATTTATTTGATACCTGTTGCAATATAGATGAGCCCCTCTGTCAAGTTCCTGGATGAATTAGTGCTCAACAAGATTAGTGAAGTGACTAGAATGGTGAAGAAGTACCAATTTTCCCATTCCCTGAGGGGCTTTTGTGCCTTTAACAGTTGAATAGAAGACCAAAACATGTGGCTTTTTTTCTGAATAATGAGACGGAATAAGCAAAAAAACATAGCCTACTGAAACTGGGCCTGCTTTGCAGCATAAGATATAGATGTGTTGTACTCCGGCTTTCACAGTGTTCATTATAATCTTTTGCTTGAGCAAAGCTTCTATGTTATTTTGCTTGCAGGCTGTCTCGGAGAAATTCACCCCTTTGGATCAGTGGCTGTACTTTGATGCTTATGAATGCCTGCCTGAGAGGGATCAACTGACAGAGAAAAACTGTGCCCCAGTGAGTAGTTACATTCCGTAGTTTGCCTTTTTATCCAAACTATTCAGGTCTGACCCATCACAACTCTGTTTAGAAAGGTTTCCACTGGTGGCTGTCCGAAACATTTTCATCTCTTCTCTTCCATGATGCTGAATTTCATAAAGCTGGCTAACTTAGACTTTCTGAGAATGCCCTTGGGAAACTGGGCTAGTTTCATTTTGCTTCCGGTCTGGAATGTTCTAATGCTTGCCATCTCTGTCTCTGACAGTGTGACAGTCGCTACGATGGGCAGATTGCTGTCTTTGGGGCTGACTTCCAAAAACGACTTGGGAAGCAGAAGTATTTCCTGGTGAGTAAGGCATGCAACTCCTGTGGAACACATGAAACAACATTCTTACCGCACACTAACTAGGTTCATTATAATGTATGTATTTGGTTTGGGCAAATTATGCTGTGTGCTAAGTTCCTATTTTTGTTGTCTGTAGTCTCTCCAGCTCTCATTTATCTTATCTTATCTGGACCCACAGAGGTCATTTGGAATAGCTGTAGATCTACCAAATGACCTTTGTGGTTCCAATAATAAAAACAAAAGAAAATTTCTTTTGATGAGCTAATTTCCCATTGCAGGACGGGAAACCATGTATTCACCCAGCAGCTGTTGAAAGAGAATGGATAAACCTTGGGTGCCTTTTCTTCCAGTTTTTCACAGCAGAGGGAGCATTTTATCATTTTTAGCCTGAGAGGGGGCACAAAAGGAAGAATAATTATTTTTATGTGATGAGGCTTAGATCCTTCAGCTGTTATTGGTTTTGTTGGGTTCTGTTTGTTTGCTTTTTGGTGGTAGTGGTAACTTATCATTTACTGGTAGAACTGCTGCTATAGATATCAGATTTTATCCTAATTAACAGATTCCTGATTATCAAAGAAAGACTCCAGATGTTGAAACTATTCCCATTATATAATGGGACAAAATTATTATAGCAATGGTAATAAACTCTTAGATTATAGCATATCACTTTTTGCAAATGTGAATACAAAGATTTATCGAAAATTCAGCATTGATCCCTAAGTATTTTAGACCAGGAAAGAAGCAAACAAGCCTAAAAAGATTGACATTGATCAAATCTCTCGTATCCATGAGAATATGAATGAATGATGAATGAATTCTTTATTGGTCAGGTGTGATTAGACACACAAGGAATTTTTCTTGGTGCATATATTTTTGAAAAATAGGAACCAAGATATATTATTTCCAGATACATTCATATTCTGCAAAATCTTTCCTTTTGTTCGTTTGCTTGACTCTGTTATTGAAGGGAGTGTGTGAGATCACCACTATATAACAGGCTTCGTGCTGCTGAGTCACATTCTGGTAATCCTGGACTTCACAGCCATTTTAGAAACAGCTGGTAAATAGTTGATTTATAAGATAAAAGAGGGTTGGGTTGATGTTGCGTCCCGGTTTTACTCCTTTTTCTTGTTTTAAGGCCCTTGCCTAGTTCTTATATGTTTTACGCAATAGATGAATTGGAATATGGATCCTACGAATTTGTGGAGTTTCTTGTCTGTGCTTATTCCATGGCTAAATTAAGAGTTAGTCTAGTATACCAGCTATAATAGAAACGTACTAAAATCATGTGTTTCTCATTGGTTTTTTTTTAGATTTTGGACTAATTGCTATCTGTAATATAAAATGTGATCAGGAGTTCTATTTTCAAAATGGGAGAATCATTCTGTATGTCATTTCTATCCTCCTCCCAGAATTGCATTCAGAAAGTTTTTGGACTTTGATAGCAATTTTCTTGTGTGAATACTTCTGTCCAGGCTTTGTAATTGCCATGCATGTTTTACTGAAATTACATGAGGATTAGGCTAATGGTATGCAGATGGAGAAAAGATACATGGGAAGGTGTGGGTAAGAACAACCATATATACAGTAATTTGAGACGCTATCTCCAGTTTCTGATATTGTTCCAAAATGTCATGGGGTCTCAAACAGTCTTACTTCTGTAGGTAGGCGCAGGGGCAATTGGCTGTGAACTCTTGAAGAATTTCGCAATGATTGGCTTGGCTGCTGGCGAGGGTGGGGAGATCACTGTGACAGACATGGACATCATTGAAAAATCCAACCTGAACAGACAGTTCCTGTTTCGACCACAAGATGTATCTGTAAGTCATGCAGGCAAGATGGCAGGGGAAAAAATTGGGAGAAGGAAGAGTGGTAACTTTAGAAACTGAGATTTGCTGCAGATCTGAATACTAGCAAATTGATTTTTAATATAAATGAAGAACATCTGTTTTCTGACCTGACTTCTATTTCTGTTCTTTGGTCAATGACCAATTTTAATCCTAGATCTAAACATGTGTCCTTTGTTTCTGTAGAAGCAGAAGTCAGAAGTGGCTGCAGCTGCCGTAAGACGTATGAATCCCAACATCAATGTAATAGCTCAGCAAAATCAGGTTGGGCCTGACACAGAACACTTCTATGGGGATGACTTCTTCCTGGGCTTGGATGGTGTAGTCAGTGCCTTGGACAACTTTCAAGCCAGTGAGTCCTTCGGTCATTATGGGTATGAGTCTCCCAGGGTCAAGTGTTCCAGTCTTCCATAACATCATTGCTCCTGGATAAATAGGGAAGTCAACTCTCTAATTCCACCCATCATCACCAATGACCATATTGTACTGAGTGGGAATTTGAAAGTAGTAACCCCAGTACATCTGAGACATTCCAGTTTGGAAAATGTGTGTGTGTGTGTGTGTGTGTGTGTATACATATATACATACATACATGCATACTTACATACATACATATATACACACACATGCATACATACAAGCATTTTCCAAACTGAATGTTTCAGATGTACTGGGGTCATAATAGTTAAGCAGCAGTTTTTTCCTGCAAGAACGTATGGCTGTCGAAGTTATATGTACAGAAAGAGAGAGAGAAAGAAGATAGAATAATAATCTAGGGATCCTTTGCGCTCTCTTGAGTTTGGTTGTTTTCTTGCAGATGTTTCATTACCCAAGCTAGATAACATCATCAGTGCTAGAATGATAAATTTGGAAACTATTACTAAAGGTTCCATGAACTGCAAGAAAATAATAATAAATTGGCTATGGACCAAATAAAAACTGACTACACGTTTGAGACAATGACCAACAAGCAGAAACCCAACTATTTTGGCATGGGATCGGGGTTGAATCTTTCGGGACTGAATCTTTCTCTCACACACACACACACTTACACATATCCCTGTTAAACTTGGGAAGAGGAAGGAAAAACAATGTATCAGGTGGTTGGACAGTCAATTACTGCAAAAAAATATTTGAAGAGCTCTGGGATTTTTATTGGACGCAGATTGGTGAGCGTTGTCTATGGAGTCATTAGGAATCAAGGCTGAATTGAGGGCACGTAAATAATCAACTTAAATTTGCATAATATTTATCCATCACTCAAACCATGATTTAGAATATTCAAAACATGACCTTACTAAGGAATGCATATTTCTAAATTTATAGCATTTATAGTTTGGATTTTGCTTTTCTTTTCTTCTAGTTCTCTGCTTCAGAGAATGAGAGAAGATATAAAGCAATCAATTCTATTTTTGCCTTCAACTTTGATTTCCTCAAACTTTCAAAGGAAAGTGACTTCAGCAAGCCATAAATGGTTCTTCTTGCGTTCCCTCACCTCTTTCTCTCCTAAGAGGTAGTTAGCTGGAGATTAAAACATATGAAGAACTGTTGCAGGATTTGGATTTGGCTAGTCTAGAGAAAAGAAGGACTAGGGGTGATATGATAGCAACGCTATCGTATTTTTGAAGGGCCGCCACAAAGAGGAGGGGGTCAACTTATTTACCAAAGCCCTTGTAGGCAGGACAAGAAACAATGGATGGAAAACTACAGTAATCAAAGACAGAAGGAACTGGAACTAAGGAGACACTTCCTAACAGTAAGGACAATTAACCAGTGGAACAGCTTGCCTTTTGAAGTTGTAGATGCTTCATCACTGGAGGCTTTTAAGAAGAGACTGGACAATCACTTGTCCGAAATGGTATAGTGATTTCTGCTTGAGCAGGCAGTTGGAGTAGAAGACCTCCAAGGTCCCTTCCAGCTGTGTTCTGATTGACTGATTGGAGCTATGGAAGCAGAATCACCCCAAAAGGTGTGCAACACTTTAGGCTCCCCTTTTTTCTTTCCCCTGCAGGAAGCTATGTCGGCGAAAGATGTGTGTGCTACCTCAAGCCTTTGCTTGATTCTGGGACTGATGGCACCATGGGAAATGCCCTGGTCTTTGTGCCTTACCTGACAAAGACACATGGGCATATTCAGGATGGGGACAGTAGAGACTTCCCTCTCTGCACTCTGCGCTATTTTCCCAGCAACATCCAGCACACCATTCAGGTATAAGTCCACGCTACTCTTTCTTCTGCCCCTCATCAACCCTGCAGCTTCTGCTCCAAGGGGATGTTCTCCCTTCCCTTTTCTCTCCAGTTGAGCCATCCTTGAAAGAGGGGAAACTCCCTTCTTCTGCCTGGCCCTTATAGCTTCATTTACTGTTTCCAGGCAGCTGGGCAAAAACTAGGGTGGCTGTTAGTGATGTGATAGGGTCCAGAGAGAGGGTCCAGCTGTTTCACCCATAGGCTAAGCCCAAATTCTTTACCTCAAGCCCACCTTCAGCTGTTTCTTCCCAGTTCACAGAACAAAGGCAGCAAGAGCAAGCCTTTCCAGATTTCAGGACCCCGAGGCTTTTCATGCCCCTACTCGATTCCCCTTCGCCTCCAATGGAGGAAATTTCTGTCTGGCCATCTGATTGTGAAGCCCTTTATATCTAGATCAGAGGAGTAAATGCCTGGTTTAAGGGATCTGTAGTCTACGTTGGCCCAGTTAGCCCCAGGGGTGGGATCCTACCGGTTCGGTCCGGTTCTATAGAACCGGCAGCTCCGAAGAACAGCTGACACTGAACCGGTTCACTGGGATGAGGTTTTGGTCTGCTGTTTGGCCCACCCACCTGCCCAGGCTCTAGGCTGTCCTTTAAGTGGCTGTGTTTTCTTCCTCAGCTGCTTTGCGCGGCACAGCTGAGTGCCGCTCGCCAGCTGGAGAAGGTAAATGCTTGCCGGAGTCGGTAGTGTGCACGTGTGCGCAGCACGCATTTGACACGCATGCACACGCTCCCCGAGCCGGTTGTTATGCTGGTCGGATCCCACCCTGGTTAGCCCCCAAAATAGTGGCAGGCAAGATACTTAGAGCCTGCTGTCCAGGACTTGCTATTTGGGAGTGCATCTTGCAGATCATAAGTGCTCTTGCTTCTGAGTCAATGCACAGGCTTAATGCATTTACAAAGGGCAAAATAGATTCCTGAACCCCCCTCACCTCCATCTTTTGCAGTGGGCCCGAAATCAATTTGAGGGTCTTTTCAAAAGAAGAGCAGAGGACACTAACAGATTTCTGAGGTGAGTGAAACTCTAGATCTTGTGAAAGATGGAATTCCGGATAAATATTCTCTGTGTGTGTAAGAATCATGAATGGGTAGTGTTGGGGATCAAGGTGATGTTTTATTCTACTAGCAGGGGGAGGGGATGTTTAGTAGATACTTTATCATTAAACGATAGTTGTTCTTAGAATAATTAAACAAGGAGATCTGATTGTTTTGAGAGGCCTGTGGATATTTTAACCACAAAATTGGTGCAGATTTCTTATACTTAAGAAATAAAACAGCTAAATACCTTCTTTAGTCCAACCACAGTGTGTACTTTTAACTCCAGGGATCCCACCTTCTTTGAGAAAGAAGGCATGGAAACTTGGGAGATGCTGAATCTAATGAAGATGAGTCTTAAGGAGCAGCCACACTGCTGGCGAGATTGCGTGGCCTGGGCCCGGAAACTTTGGGAGCGTCTTTTCTGTCACGACATCCTGCAGTTGCTATACAACTATCCACCTGAACATGTGAGACATGAGCATATCCTTTTTACCCTCAACTACTTCCTAGCTTCTTGTCCAGCACAGTGCAGCAAATGAAGTGCGAATGGCTCAAGATCAAGGGAGGATCCTCCTACTGCCCTTCTTTGGACAGAGTACACATTTCTCTTGCAGAGGCTTCCAACTTAATCAAAACTCATTTCCAGAAAGGGCTGGTCTCATCTTGGAGGCATTGCTTCTTTAGACTTACCCTCCGCAAATATTTACTCTTGCTGCTTCTTTGGGTAGGAGCCCATGGTCATAAAATATCTCATTACACCCTAGCTGAAGATCTTGAAAATAATTCGCCTGTAGTTTTTCAGACTGGTGACAAACTTCAGAAGAATAAGAACCCAATAGGATCTAAATCAAATGGCAAACAGTAATTAAGAGTCCACAGAGAGAGAAGTAATACTGTATATTCAAAGCAGAGAGTCCAGATGTTCAGGCTAAGGATTCAACCTAGAACAGTTTCTATAGCAGTCCTGCACCTCGCTCTCTTCCTCTCATTGTGGTGAAGCAAAATTCAAGGTAGCCATTCCCTTTCTATGTAGGATGTTTCAGTAGTACGGAAAGAGTCCTCTTCCCATATTTCCTAATACAGATTATCTGACTCCTTCTGAGAAGATTAAAAACAATCTGCCCTGTATGTAGTTAATACATAATTAATGTGTTAGTAAGTGTTAATACCACTTTATAATGCCTTGATAAGGCCACACTCGGAATACTGCATCCAGTTTTGGTTACCACAGTGTAAAAGAGATGTTGAGACTCTAGAAAGAGTGCAGAGAAGAGCAACAAAGATGATTAGGGGGCTGGAGGCTAAAACATAAAGAACGGTTGCTGGAACTGGGTATGCCTAGTTTGATGAAAAGGAGGACTAGGGGTGACATGACAGCAGTGTTCCAATATCTCAGGGGCTGCCACAAAGAAGAGGGAGTCAAGTTATTCTCCAAAGTATTTGAGGGCAGGACAACAAGCAATGGGTGGAAACTAATCAAGGAGAGAAGCAACTTAGAACTAAGGAGAAATTTCCTGACAGTGAGCTCAATTAACCAATGGAATAACTTGCCTTCAGAAGTTGTGAATTTTCCAACACTGGAAGTTTTAAAGAAGAGATTGGACAACCATTTGCCTGAAATGGTATGGGGTCTCCTGCCCCTGAGCAAGGGATTGGACTAGAAAACCTCCAAGGTCCCTTCCAACTATTCTATTTTATTCTAACAATCGTTTATATCCGTCTCCATCAGTGGTGGGGTTCAATTTTTTTTTTTTACTAGCAATTCTGTGGGTGTGGCTTGGTGGGCCTGGCAGGGGAAGGATGCTGTAAAATCTCCAGTCAGAGGTAGGATTTGCTGGTTCTCCAAACTATTCAAAATTTCCGCTACCGGTTCTCCAGAATTGCTGAATACCACCTCTGATCTTCATGCAATGGTGGTGGCATAATTTTGCAAGTGGTTGTTAACTATAAATAGAAAATAAAATGAAGCATTTTTCAGCCTTGCAGGAGCGCACACGCTCTATAAAAAGAACTTGTACTGCTTCTTTGTTCTTTTAGTTATACTAATACCTAAAACACAGAAAGTGATTTTCTTGGCTTGGCTGAGAGGAAAATCAAAAGAGGGAATCAGAGGGAATTACTGTACATTTTTTTGTGGAAACCCAGATGCTTAATGTAAAGGTGGCTTCTTTGATATCTGTGTATTGCACTCAGGATTGAAAATGCCATTGAAGGATTACTGTATCTGAATTATAATACACATTTTTTCATAGATTCAAGAAAGGGTAAAAAAAAAAAAAAGCTAAGGCCCCATTTTATACATTCAACTTTGGTAGCTCCACAGCTTCAGCTGCAGGTTTCATTGCACTTTCATTCCCCATTTTCCCTCACTGTGTACATTATGTTACTGAAAGTGATACTACGGTGGTTATACGTGTCCATTTTTGGATGATGAAGCATTGTTCTTCTATATAACCTTTTTTCGGCCCTTAATGGAATGTAACAGTATTGTCGGGAGGCGGCCCTGGATGTTTTGGAGGAATTAAAATATGTACAAGTAAAATATACAGATGGTACAGATAGTTCCTTCCAGCCATATCTACCATTTCTGAGGCCTTCACTTATTCCATGGCTAAATCTCTTCACTTCAGGCTGCAAAACTTACCTGGCTCAGTTCCAGGCTTTGATCAGTGGAGTTTCCTTCCTTGAACTTCTTTCCTGCACCCCATGTGGCTTCCTGACTGACCCCATCTACCTTTGTCCCCAGGAGACAAGCTCTGGACTTCCTTTCTGGTCGGGATCCAAGCGTTGCCCTCACCAACTCCAGTTTGACTACAATAATGTGAGTGAGTTGTTCATCTTGGGAACTGGGGATTCTAGAAGAGAGCAGACTTTGCTTTCTCAATAAGCATCATCCAGGAAAGGTCAAGACATTTCTTCTATTGGGTGACCATTCTCATCTTAATTTTAAAAGGATAAAAGTAAATGTACACCTTCAGTCTCATGAACACACACACACAAACACACACATACATATTCAATGAATGAGAATTGTTTGTTTTTGTTTCCTAGAACGGGTGGCAAACAATTCACAATAAATAGCTAAAAAAGAGTATGAATCAAAAGTGTTTAATCAACAAGAGAAAGACTAGTTCATTTCAAACTTGCCTTGAATGTTTCAAAGGAGGATTCCAAATTCACTGGAATGCCGTATCTGAACCCACTGTTTCTCACAGTCGTAGTAGAAGGCTGCATTAGGTGATGTGTTATATTGATCATATGAGAGGGGAGAGTTTGTTTAGCTGAATGGTAGGGGATTTATTTTTGGAGGGTCATCCAATGCTTCCAGTTGTTGATTTTGAGAAACAAGAACTCAGGGTTTCAGTGGAGAAAAGGGTACTGACTCTGCTAAAGCTATCTTTGGATTTTTATAGACCACCCACAAGAACTTCATTGTGAGTGCCAGTCGTCTCTTTGCCAAGACACACAGGCTGCTTGTTCATGAAGATGAAGCTACTACTTCCCAAGTCCTCCTTGAGTTGCATCTCCCACCCTTCCACCCACATAAAGGGATTCATATCCCTGCTACCGATGAGGAGATTCCAACATTACCAAGTGCGTCTAGTAAGAAATCGATGAGATCAATGATAGACAGAAAACTAAACTGCTTCTGTTAGCTCCTAAAAATCCTTCTGCTAATGTTAATCAAAGATGTGGGTGGAGGTTATCATTGAATTGTAAGGGTGATATAAATGCCTTTAAACAAGCAGATAATGTTTTGTTCATTCCATATCACTCAAAGGATCTTACTTGGCCTGCTCCAAATATGTTTTTTAGATCAGACAAGGCTGGTAGAACTGAAGCAAGAATGGAGAAAGCTAAAAGAGGAGCTTGAAAAAGACAGTGACCTCGTATCTGGTCAAATGGAGCCACTTCACTTTGAGAAGGTATGGGCATGCTTGTTTATTGCATCTTGCTATGCATTTCTTTCTGTGTAGACCTTGAAGGGCAGTGAGCGAACTGTGTGACTCCACTATTCCAATTGTGACCTCCTCTCTAGCAGTTCTTCATCTTGGACCAGGCAACTTCAGAGTTAGAGCTAAAACACTTTATGAGATGACTCATGAACTGATTTTTCCATTGTTCCCAGTATCTGTAAAGGGCAAGTATGAACAAGAGCTGCATGTTTTTTTTTTTAAATATTCAGAGCTCAAATGCTGGGTTACAAAAAACACTCCCTTTGTATCGCGTACACAAAATGTAGGATTATGACTCAAAGTCTGAGCGACAAATCAGACGGCTCCTGGTTTTGAACCTCACCTTTACTGAGAACTCATTGGATAGCCTGAAGTGGGCTGAGCAACTTCTTTTAGATTGAAGGAAGTATTTGGACATTCAGGATGTGCTGGAGCCCTTATTCCCAAAAGTGGGTGAGGCCAGGGCATGTTAAATGGGCAGAAACCAAGCAAAACCTAGATAAAGCTGAATTCAATAATTTAACTTCCCACGTACCTAATGATTTCCTTAATTTATTTGTAAATCAAAGGTGTAGGTAAGTTTTAGATGGGCTCTGAGGAAACATTAAAGTCTTCTTTCCAGAAGAAAATTCTCACGAGGAAAAAAAAAAGGAAATAATCATGCTTTTGGTTGCTAAGTTACATATTAAATTTGTGGTGGAATCTCACAAAAGAGGAAGGTGGGCGCCTGTGACCTCAAGACTCAGGCATGCTACTTAGAACAATTATTTGTCTTTATATCAGAGCCAAACCATATCTGGATAAACTGCTCTTTTGAGTTGATAAAGCTACACTCCTGGGCATATCTCTCTAGAACTAAGTTTTCTTGATCACAGATTTAATTCTGAGCCATGTAAGACAAAATAAAGTCAGAAGGATTGTTGGTCGAAATTCATCCTTATCTGGGGCTGGCAATGAGAATGATGGAGACTGGAGAATGGGGAGGCGCTTGAATGTGAAATGATAAGGCTGTGGAACATTTAAGGAAAATGGTGGGTTTGTGCCAAGGTTTTTTTTTGCTCACCCTCGCTATCAGGGACTCTTAAAAGGAAAGTTAAGCTGGATAATGAAAGCGGAGCTGACTTTCTGTGTACAAAAAAACCCCTTCAGCACTGAGTTATGGCCTTCTTCAGCTTGCTCACATCTTGCAGTAGGAAGTCTGTTTTATTTAGTAGGGGAGAACATTGTGATTGAATGATATTCCTTGTGTGCAGAGCAGTATTGGAACAGGCCCACAGCTGCTATGAGCCAAACTTTTTGCATACAGTGGGCATTTGTCTGCAGAAATGCAGTTGTAATGTAGGAATCTTGTGGGGATTATATCCAAATATGTCATCAGCTGCCAGGATCGGGGTGCAGATTTCAGTTAAGGTGGAATATTTTCCATATATTGCCATTTCAGTTGAAAGTTGCTGTCAAATGCTCCTAATAGAAATCTCATTTACCAGTCAGGTTTAGTTGCTTTGACCTTTTCCATGTTTTGGAGGCTACTGTTTCTGGAGTTTTGCATTATAATTGAGTTGACATTTAGGATTTAAGTTTCTTAAGTTTCTAGAAGAGAGCAATATCATTATTTAAAAACACAAAACAACATTTAATTCAGGTTATGTACTTAAGGGCTAAGGTACATTTTGTCATTCATTCAATTACACAAATAGTTTAAAATTGTAGATATGTATTTCATATTATTTATAAACCACCTCGGTCCTGAAGGGCTCTGGATGCCATCACAACATAAAAGAAAATATAAAATGTAACAGTACATATTTTGTAGCCAGAGTTTGGATGCCCTCATTCTGACCAATTGGGGCCAAAGACACATTGAATAGCACGGATTTGAATTGTTACAGAGTATTAACATAAGAGGGTCTGAACTGAGAGAGGGATGTTGCAAAGAATGAGGGGGACCATGAAGAAAGTGTGTACACCAGGGAGTCCTTGACTTAACAATTATTCATTTAGTGACCATACAAAGTCACACAAGAACCCTGAAAAAAGTGACTTATGACCGGTTCTCACACTTACAACCATTGCAGCATCCCCACAGTCACATGATCAAAATTCGGTTTTTTGGCAACCGGCATATATTTCCGATGGTTGCAGACTCCCAGAGTCCTGGGATTGTCACTTGCAAAGCTTCCTAGGAAACAAGCAAAATCAACGGGGAAGCCAGGTCACAGTTAAAACCACATGATTCACTTAACGGTGGAAAAAAGGTCATAAAATGGGCTGTGACTCACTTAGCAACTGCTGTCCTTAGCAACAGAAATTTTGCTCCGTTGGAGTCATAAGTTGAGGGCTACCTGTAATCTGGTTCACAGCCATGTATTTCTTGCAAGGGTATGGGTGGGGCCCTCAACAGATACGGCCATTGATTGCCCTAGAAAAGCAGGTCCATTTTGGCAAGCGGCTTCCTGCATATCCTAATGCTGCACCATAAAGAATTTTTAAAAATATTGTTCAGACCAACTGACCAAAAGTATCATTATGTGTGTTCTGAATTAAGTCTGGAGGTCTATTGGCAGTTACAATAGTAACTTTAGTGTTGGGTTTACTCTGTGCTAGTGGAATTACGCCACCAGCAGTCTAGTTGCATTTTGCATCAGCTCAAAGGCAACCTTACCTACAGCCTGTTGTGAGGATCCAAATTAAGATGCAGAAGATTCGATCTGAGTTGAGTCCCAAGAATATATGGGATTGAGACTTTTGTCCCTGCCCCTGTCATTTCCTCAGTTGGGTTGGAATGGAAGAGATTTCAAATAGTTAAATTCCTCCCTGGAATCAGGGACCAGGGTTGTCACAGCATTTTAATCACACGCTC